CTGGGGTAAGTAATAGTGACAGTTAATCATTTATATTAAAGCCATCCTGTAATTTCCATTATGTGAACTACGTGATTATTTCAACCTTGAAACTGTGGTAAAGATGATGTAATGTTAATTACACTTAGAACCTACGGCTGCTGTACCACAGTGCTGCTAAGCTGGAGTAATCTTCTGAAGTCAATAGCTTTGTGCCAGCTAAACTCCTGAATCTGCCCCTGCCCTGTGCAAAGCCTGCAGTGCCCATGGATTTCCAGGGATGTGGTGGGGTATTTATCCCTGGAACCTGTGCAGGGTCCCAGCAGGAGCAGCAGGTTCTGCTGTGGATTACAGGTTATTCAGTCACCAGCACAGCGGCTGCTCTCCCAGTGGAGGTGTGAATGACGGATGGGAGCTCCAGCTGGAAGGGATCAGCACCATCATTTTCACCTGTTTATCAGCTGCTGGCCTCTGCATTTTCTTTACACACCTTTTTCCTCTAGTCTGTGGTCTAACCTCAGTCAGGAGATGTTCCTTGGTTATTTCTTGTTAGTTTCCCCTATGGATTTTTTTTTCCTGTCAAATTATTCCTATTTAAATTTCTCGCCCATTAAGTCAAATCTTTATCTCCTGCAGCCATGACAAGAGATTCCTTCTGTCCTTCAGTGGTTTTCTGCACTACTGCTAATAAAGTGTCCAAGTCCTTCACCCAGTGCTAACCAAGGGCATTGTAGAAGCCAAAGGCACATGGAAATTGCCAGACCAGATGAAAACAATGGTGTGTCCAGGCCAGTATCCTGTCTTGGACAAGACCTATATCACCAGATTCAGAGTAAAGTTCCCATCATCAAAAGATAGGGAATAAATTGCTGAGGAGGAAGTTTCTTTTTAACACTAGGCATTTAGTGGTCGCCTTATGCCTTCAAGCATGAGTATTTACATTCCATATTCTCCCACTAATGTAAGCTAGGTTTGTTGGGCATGGCTTAATAGACAATTTTGCTCCTCTCAGGCTTAACCCGTGAGCATTACCCTGCCAGAAGAAATTTCCTGTCCTGATCACTTTGTCTCTACGATACGACATGGTTGGTCTTACAAATACCCTTGTGCCTCGCGTTGCCTGATGTAGCCTCTGCTGAAGTCAGTGCCTTCCATGGCTGGGCACAGAGCCCCACTAGGTTCAGCTCCTTCCACCCCTCTGCAGCATCAAGCTGCATCAGAAGATCCCTGGCTCCCATGTGGTTCCCTGGTACCATGGTGGCAACCAGGACTATCGCCATGTTCAGGGTTCACGTGGTGCCTCGTTAACTGTAGTAACAAGCACAGCTGTCGGGTCGCACAGCTCTGGCCTGCCTTTCCCGGACACGCCATCATCCAAGTTCTTTACAGCAATCACTGCTCCTTTCCATCATAAGCCTGCACTCTTTCAGGACGCGCTGACAACCCGGGGGGAACTGGGCAGCAAGGCAGGACTCCTCACCAGACTTAATGTTGGGTCTCTCCCAAAGTTCTCCCTACTTCACTGACCCAGGTGTCCTCTGCCTTGCACTGGGATTTGGAGAAAAGCCATGAATTGCCATGCCTTGGCTGACACAAAGAACAACTACAAAGCTGAAAACCCCAGACCACTACGGTTGCCAGAGGTACCCCATTTCCCTGCTTTCCTCGCTTTTTCCCTTCTCCCTTTCTCTGGCCTCTGCTCTGTTTTCCCTTTCCAGCTCCCAAGTCCAGCAAGGTTCCCTCCTCAGCCAGCCTTAGGGAAAGGCAGCGCCACGGAAACCTTCAGGCAAAGCCTGCTCCCAGGCTGCTTCCATACAGCTCAGACAGCTGGAACAGAGACCTGGTAGCTTCTGGACTTTGCTGCATGGCCAACGTCACATCATCTCCCTCATCCTCACTTGGTCACAGAAGCAGTGACACAGCTCCAGCCGCCTCCATCAATGGGCTGAAGCCATCGGGAGCATTAAATCAGATTTGCACAGCGGTTGGGCTTGTAAAGCAGGGGAAGGAAATCAGAGCGATGGGGTCGTAGGGCTGCTACTTAACACCTCGGGGCATTTCAACAGCTAAAGCACATGGAAGCTCATTCGACCCAAGTCAAGTGATTCTGGCATTTCTCATCATTCCCCCCAACCCTTCTGCTCTCTGGTCTGTACAGAGCAACCACCAGGGAGGGGCAATATCATGCGAGGGAGAAATGGAAATTTTTATTAAAAAAGGAAAGCCCAACGCAAAGCACACGGAGGGAAAAAAAAAAAAAAATCTCGGTGTGAAGTGTCTCAAAAAAGGCTGCGCGGGTAGCACGACAAAAAACCCCCGCCTATTCATCAGGCCAACAAAAAGCTTCTTTAGATTTATACTGTGAGTCCATTGAGAGGGAGGGGAGGCAGCGCTCACACACCCACCCTTGTGCACACAGGCAGAGCCCGCAGACCTGCTCCCAGCACACAGGCTGAGCTGTTCTGCCCTCTCACAAGGAAGCACTGAGTTTTTAAAAGTAAACTGTAAGGTTTCCGTTGTTGCACTGGGCTCAAGTATTTTTTTTTTTTTAATTTTTTTTTTTTTTTTAAAATATATAACAGCTCTCTCTCTTTGCCCTCTCTCTCTCTCTCACTCTTTAAACAGCCCCGGCTGCTCTGGGCTGCTCGGCAGCCGTCGCGCGCTGGCTCCGTATGTGGTCCAGACCCGCAATGAACACGGCTTTTGTTGCTGCTGCTGGGAAGCTGCCTGAGAGCAGCACACACAGCCCGGCTTGTTTCACACGTGGAGGCTGCAGCGGGTTCGGGGGTGGGAGGGAGGGGGCAAGAAAAGGAGGAGGAGGAGGTGGAAGAAGAGGAGGAGGAGGAAGAAGAGAGCAGCTCAGGGAAGGTTGTCTTGTGGTAGAGCAACCGTCCCACCACTGGTGAGGGAAAGGGGGAAGCGAGGAGATGGAAGAGGGTGGCGGTGGAAAAGATGTCTCAGGCAGCTAAGAAAGGTCCTGTTGATTTTTAGATGGGGACCAGTTGGCCCTCCACCAGCCCACCTTCCCGCCGGGTGTAAGTCAGCATGGGAAGGCAATGAAGTCACTGGATCTGTGCAACTTATGTTTGCAGAGGATCTGCCCCGGAGAGAGGAGAGGAGAGAAAAGACCAACAGTGGAGTGGACATTGGAGTTCTCAGGGTTTCTGATCATTATACGCATCCCCTGGTGGTACTAGAGCACTGAACAACAATTTGGTCTCTTCATTTACACATTCATTCATTCATTTCTGTCTTTTAAGTGATACCATCCATTCTCTTCTCCCCTAAACCCCTCAATGTTCCTCACAAATTAGGCATTATTTTGCAGTGAAGAGCTGCTGTTTGCTCTGACAATGCTATTTCTGCTGAACCTCTTTTCCTTAGTAAGTTTTTCCCTCTGTCTCTTTCCCTCCCCTCAGTTTCCTATCATCGCATCTGCTCTCTTGGCCCATCCATCCTCCAGCCCTCGTGCTGCTGTCAAACCCTGCTACTGTACACGGAGGCGATTATAAGAAACATTAAACAGCAGTTCAAGTGGAACAGATGGAGTTTTCCCCCAACGACCGTTCAGGCTGCTGAGAGTGTTCAACCCGGTGATGGTGGGAGGGGATGCCTCCCTTTTCACACTCTGACAGCAACTCGAAACATCTCAGAAAGGGGCAACGTCTCCCCTTTGACCTGCCAGGCAGATACAGTCTCTTGAAGCCAGCAGGAAAATATAACATCAAACAACCAAACCAAAGAAACAAATAGCTCAGCTTCCAAAAGGTTGCCCTCCTTCGCAGGATCTGAAAACCCACCAAACTCTGTCCCCAAACCACCGGCCCCTCTGCCCAGCCAACATCCTTTACTGGGGAACTTATAGATGAAAACCAAAGTAGTAAGGAATGCTAAAAAATTCCACTCTCCCAACTATTTTGTTGTGGGAAGTTCCCCCCTTTCCACATCTGGCAAAGTTATTTTAGAAAGCTAGGAAAGCTTTTCAAACTGAAGTTTTTTGGCTAAGCAACTCAAAATGGAAAGGTTAAAATGCATGCTTTCTGCCACACGCACAGGGTTACTTAGCACAAAGTTTAAATGAAGAGTCTTAAAAAGTAGTAAATGAATGAAAAGAAGACATTTGTGATAGATCGATTCTGAAAAAATAAAACCTTTTTTTGCTCTGTCCACTTCTGCAGAAGAGCTCAGCTCCCTGCAAACTATTGCTAAAAATATGCTTGGTCTGTGAATGGATTCGGAAAGAGGGCAGGTACTGAGTGACGCCTGGAGCAGCTAACTGGAAATAACCCAGGAGACGCTGCCAGCCGCTGGTCCCGGCCGTCCTCACGCAAGGGGACCACGCTGTCAAACCCTCCAGCATTCAAGCTCTTTTCATTCTCTTTCTGAACTTGCCAGCCCCTGTGGAGCTTAACACCCCTCTGGCTCAGAGATCACCCTCTGCCTTCCCTGTAGCAAAGCAACGACACTGATCAAAGCAATAACCATGAGAAACCCCGCAGCCATTTAGGACACTTGTAAAAAACCCCATCACGACAGCAGCCTCCTCCCCCAGCGCTCAGAAGCAGGACCAGACGCATCACCAGGGCTCGAGCGGTAGCTGAAATCCATCACAAAGAAACACCGGTGGGTTGGAGGGTCTTTTGGGGAGGGAGAAGGGGGATATAACCCTGTCTCTGCTCTCCCGCCTCCTGGTTTTGGCTATAGGGTCTCAAACTTGACACACAGGTGTTGCCTCTGGCTATAGGTTTGCTCCCCATAGCGGGTGGGTTGCTGGTGAGGACCATCTTGCCCAGAGGCACCGCAGGCACAGGCTCCCCACGCACAGCAGAAGGGAAAGTCTGTGGAGGGGCTTGGGCTCAATCAGTTTACAACTTTTCTCACATTTCTCTGCTGGCTGCTCACCAGGGAAACAACCAATCCACTGATTGAGAGCCCGCATCTCTAGAGCGCTGAGGAAAGAAATAGGAAAGTTAAGGAAAAGATACCAAAGAGAGAGGAGGGAGGAAAGCGCAATACCTTACCTTTAACAGTTCAGTGCAGTGCTTCCAGAATCTAAGTCCCATACACCTGGCAGAGAAATGAGGTGTTTTTCGGCGTTCAAGAAGGAAAGAGCTTGCCACTTCTTCCTATTACTGTATGTCTTCTTCACAGTCTCCAGATGAGTTTTTCTGCCTTTTTTTTTTCTTTTCCCTGGTTCCCCAGAAGAAATCAAAATTCCCTGTGTGGTATTTCAGGTCCTTTCAGGCAGTGGCAGCAGCAGCAGGCTTGAAGAGTAAGTACTGTGTGTGAATGGCAAAAAAGAGAGAGAGAGGGTTTCAGACCACATTAGCTGCCACTGGCTGCAAGAGAGACCATCAAACTCCTGTCAGCCTCCTTAGATACCTCTTGAAGAGCTGGCAAACTAAGTGCATTGGATCCTCCTCTGGATTTTAGAGTAAAGGTAGGCAGGCATCCAGGGGGCAGGGGGAAATAGGAGGGCTTACGGACAGAAAAGGAAGCCCAGCCTCTTGGAAAGAAGGAAAAAAAAAAAAAACCACCAAGAAAAGAAAAGAAAGGGGAAAAAAAAAAGCATGACCAAAAAAAATACTGTAAATGGAGAAAGCTGAATGGGGAGTGGGGGATTAAATTTAGCCCTCTGGTTTGGAAGCAAACTGGCTGGAGCACCACAAGTGGTTGAGAGACAAGAAATAGTTTATGTAATAAAAAGAGAAAAGAAAGGGGAAAAAAAAAAGCATGACCAAAAAAAATACTGTAAATGGAGAAAGCTGAATGGGGAGTGGGGGATTAAATTTAGCCCTCTGGTTTGGAAGCAAACTGGCTGGAGCACCACAAGTGGTTGAGAGACAAGAAATAGTTTATGTAATAAAAAGAGAACGTGGTTTATGCAAACTAAAATAAGATGAAGCTAATTAAGGAACCTGAGCAAAGCCTGTGTGTCTGCAATGCAGTCAATATCACTGCAGTCTGAGTAGAAATGAGCAGATTTACTGGGAAGCTCAGAGAGAGCAGCAAACAGGAAAGTTTAGGAACTCACTTGCATGGCTCTGCCAGAGAGGAGCAGAGGAGCTCAGTGTGGAGGGAAGGAGGGGATGCTCAGGGCTAGGAAATGGAAATCACCTGGAGCATCAGTAACTGATAAGTGATATAAAGGCAGAGAAAAGAGGCTGTTGGGAGTGGGCTTGTCTAAGAGCTGTTTGGGGTGAACTGGGGAGAAATATAGAGCTTGTAAGCACCTAGGGATGGTAGAGACTGGAGCAACCACCCCAAAACATTGATGGGGTGGTTGAAACATTGAGGAGGATCCCATAACTGGATCTCATAACTAAATCCTTGGCAGTTCTGGGGTTGTCAGAAAGTGCTGAAGAGGTTGTAGCACGTTTTGATTATTTTTATTTTTTTCTGGAAGGGATGCTGGTAACTTTGAGTGGGAGAAAAAGCTGCGCTTGGGGAGGAGGGAACGGGTTTGTTGCTGCAGGCCCACACCTTGGCTTGTGAAGAGGCCAGATGGCAGCTGGGAGGAGGTGGGAAACTGCTGAGATTTTCACAGTTGAGAAAAGCTCTTCTGGTTGAAAAACCTGTTGTACCTCAGCAGAGAAACCCGAGGGTGGACAGAGATCTTGGGTTTGAAGTTCCTCAGGCTTGCAAGAAGGTCCCAGCTTGGGCTGTCCCTGTTCATCAGCATTTCAGCTGCTAAGAGATCTCCAAGAGATCAAGGTGGGGTGATTCTGAGTACAGAAATGCACCTGTGTGATGCTGTCTGGGTAGTAACTACTCCTTGCAGCTCCTTTGTGACAGTACCTCCACCATAGGAAAGCCCATATCTCCAGCCCAAGGGAAAGTCTTTGTGCAGGCTGTGACAGGGACTACCAGAGAGAAGAGCAGGAGACAGAGGTCAATAATTATGTAGGTCAAATTATATCAAGTCTTAACAACCTACTTTCTGCACTGCTCTTCCTGTGGGACAGAGGGAAAAGTTTTTAAAGCCTATATAAAAGGTGAGAAAACCACTGAGTTTAAGGAAAAAGCTATTTCCCCTAACATGGAAGAGAGCATCTTCAACCTAAAGTAAAGATAAAATTTGAGGGTTCTCCTCATGGTCTCCTTGTACCCAAGCCACACACCAGCCCTCAGCCTCTCTCCCTCCAGCTCTCTTTTAATGTGATCTCTGATAGCTGCACTTCCCTCTCTCTTACCAACACCATCCCATGCTTTCTGGGTTATGATAAAGTAGTTTTGCCTCCCTCCGTGAATTATTTTAATCCCATGCCTCATTTCAAAGCTTGCTTCTTTGACTGTCTCGCCTCTAAACCTGAGGCTCATAACCCTTTTGTAGTATTTGTGCCCTCTGGTGAGAGCTTTGCATCCATCATACTGACAGGTAATGCTCTGCTCCCAGATCACAGAGCATGGAGGCACACTTCCCACAAGTCTCTTATTCCATCTTAAAGATTCACGACTAGATTTTGGTTGTGAATCTCCCCCTTGGATCATTGCCCTTTTTTTTCAGTGGTGAAGTGCTAGGTGTTAACTTGAAAACTTTCTGGGAACCCTAATGCTAAAAGTCCAAAGGGCAGTGAGGGAAAACTTCACAGCCATTAGAAAGGACAGTACATTTACAGCCTCATCTGAAACTCTTGGACTTATTTCCTTGACCTCACATGCCTTTTGGTGTATGAGAGTGCTGCCTGTCCGCATAAAATTTAGTCCTCTGTCTATGGAGTTCAAGTGGGGACCTTCCCACCAACTCAAAGGGCAATGGATCCATCCTGGGGGCTGCCACCACCCCCATCTGCTGGGTAGGTTGGGAAAGATGGAGCCACACAGGCTGGAGCATCTCCTGTCTCCCCTCCTCGCTGGCCAGGCTGTCTCTGCACTGGGCAGCATGGTGTAGCTCTAGCAATCAGAGGGAAGAGGCAAAACACACTTCAGATGGTGCACGACAGCTCACGCTTTAGGCAGGGCTCATTTTTTCCAGCTGAGGATAAAAAGCACGTAGACAGGAGCTATAAAATATGACCTGACCAATTTTGTTCTGACTCATGGACGTGAGAGACTCTGAAACATCTCATGCCCGTCTGCAGCCCTTTGTCCCTGTAGCATAAAGACCTTTTGGGAAACGTATATGTTTAGTTGTTTTGCTGTGGAATAACTGTGAGCCCTGTGTACCCTCTGCTGCCACTGTGGTTTGGCGAAGAAAACCCCATCTAAACCTTCGGTGAGCTTAAGCCAGGGAACAGAGAAAATTCCACTTTGGAGCTGACCAGTTAGGAAAATGTGATGCTCCACACAAAGTGGTTTCTTAGCAACTTCAGGAAAGGGGTAGAAACTGTTCGGTACCTGCTGGCTGTCCCAGTTTTTTGTCTGCATCAGGAACGATTGGAAAAACAGCTAAATATGTTCAGAGAAATTGTGATTCATGAACTGCTCTTCTGTTTGTTTGTTTTTTAAGCTAAGGAGTGGCCAGGTCAAAAAAAGTCACATAGATGGCTTTTGATTTTTGTTTAAAGCAGGGAAGCAACAACTCAGACCTCTTTCAAACACAGGTAACACATTACAAAAGTGCTTACAGTTAGGTAAGATTTTTACATGTCATTATAAAGTTCAAAGGAGGCTTATGTCCATTCCCAGTGAAGTTCAGCCCTAAGGGAGTGCAAATATTTGAACAGAGGACAAACCCTTTGGCCAAGGAAGAGCGAAGAATAGCTTTGCTGTGAAAACTATAGAATATCCAGAATTTCTATGGTGGAAGCAGTCACTGAATGAAAATAGGTAGGAAAGGAAAAAATAGCAGACAGAGAAAGGCTGTATCGGTTAAGGTGATAGTTGCTTGTAGTTTTCCAAAAGCAATGAAAGGCAGGCTTGGGTGGCTTTCCAGCCGAGACAGAGAGGAACCCAAAAGAAATAGAACAAATAGTAGAATAAAACCTTCAAACTGCTTTTAAAAGTTGCATTCATGGTTGTGAACTGCTGTTCCTTCCCTGCAACTACCACTGCAGCAATCTCATGGCTCTCAGCCCAAACCTGTGTCTTACTCTTGGGGTGAAAGGGAGGGTTTTATGCCCCTAGAACACTTCACATTTCTAGAATTATTGTGTCCTATTAAAACCTAAGTAGGCATTAAAAAAAAAAAACACAGCAGGCGCATGGGCAGGGGGTATGGAATCCCAGCTACTGTGTGTGCAGGTAGCGGAGTGGGTGGTGAAGAGTTGAGGTCTGTGACCTGTCTTCAGGAAAAGGCACTGAATATCTAGGGGAAACCCAGGAACTTTGAGCCTAAGCCTAAAAACTACTGTTCATGCTTTTGCAGTTGGTGTCTGAGGAGTTCAAAACACGTTGCAATAGACATTTCTTGATCAGCCATCACAGGTTCCTTAGATAACAGTATTTGAGTTCTTGATGCCTTGTGGTGCTGCTGAAGCCCTGGCTCCGTGTGGGACTGGGGCATGCAGAGATGACTCGCTCAAGGCTATGGGTGAAGCCAGTGTCAGAGCCAGAACATCTCCCTTCCCAACTCTATTCCCACTTTTAAAGCTAACAAAGGCCTTGATCCACTTCGGGAGTGGGTTTACCAGCACTGCTGAGCTGCCCTTTCTGAAGCAGTGATGCTCTGGAAGGGTGAGGCTGCCACTTATAAACCTCTGCTGTGTTTTGATCCAGGTGGGAAAAAACAAAAGCCAGCTCCCACCTACCTACTGGTCCAGAGCTCACCTCCCAGCAGCTGGGAGACAGGGAGCGGAGGCAGCAGGCTGATGTCCTCCACATCTCCCACAGCTGGAGTCAGACAAGTGCCAGCAAAGCGAGCACACTCAGTGTCCTGACTGACGAGAGGAATGAGCCTCTAATTGGGAGGGTGAGGAGAGGGCTGAGATGGCCCATTTTCTGTGTTTCTGCTCAGGTGGTTGACACTTCACCTCCTTTCTGGCTTTCAGCTTGAGCGTGCATGGGAAAGAAATGCTGGGGTGTAGGCACTGACACTTGCACTCACACACGTACGGGCTTGTACACATCCATGTCCTGCATCTATGTCCCACACACGAGCCTTGGGTGTCCTGGAGGTGAAACTCCTGGACTGGGAGGAACCCCCTCTGGAGCTGGTGCTGAGGCATTACTGTGTGCATCAGCAAGGGTTGCCTCCAGTATGTCATGGGCAAAGCCTTTGCCTGAGTAGCTGCTGTCAGGGTGTCTCAACATCAGCTTTGACCCTCATGTTTGGGTCCTGCACTTCTGCAAGCCAAGATCCCAGGACAGGGAAAGCATGGTGTGATGTAGAAATGCCCAAGTCCCCACACAGTTTGGGTCAGTGGGTCCTGAGAGGAT